TTCTAAAATTATCCAACTATCAGACAAAACAACGTCAGCAAACTTTTTTCTCTAAAAGGCCAAGTAACAAATATTTTAGACTCTGGGAGCTAAACAGTCTCTGTGGCTCAAAAGCAGCCACAGACAAAATGTAAAAGAATGAATGTGGCCATATTCTAATAAAAACTTTATTTATGGATATGGTAATCTACAAATCTTGTTATTTTTAGTGCTCATGAAATATTGTTTTTTTTCCCCAATCATTTAAAAGTATAAAACAACATTCTTAGCTTATGTACCATACATGCAGTGGGCTAGATTTGGTCCAGGTTGTAGTTTGCTAATTCCTGGGTTAGACATTAATAATGCAAACTCTAGGAAATAAAACATAAGAAGACAAAGCTCAGGTTATCTTTCTTTCTTCCCTTCTTTCTTCTCTTTCATCTTTCTTAATTCCTCCTTTTCTTTTATTTATTTATTATCTATCTATCTATGTATCATCTGTCTATCTTTGCATCTGTCAATACACAAAGTATAAGGAAATAGTACCAGGAGAGTGGAGGGTCAGACTACCAGTCTCTTGAATTTAGCTGGTATAATAGTCCACTCTAAGGGGCTAACTATAATGGTTTGCAGGCATTGGGCCTATGTAACTACCATGGAGATTCTGAGCGCTAAAAAACTGTTCATAATATTCAAAGTGAATACAGTTACATGATATCCTATTTGCATTCCAATTAGCTGTCATGTAAGTTGTTTGTTTTATTTTTTTATTTTTATTTTACTTACTTTTTGTTGTTTTTGTTTGTTTGTTTTTTAATGACATCTTCTTTGACAACTAATGTCTTCATTGAATTCTTACGATATTTCCATAATGGTAAAGAGAGAAGGAAGCTATGAGAGAAGCTTGCCTCATGGCAAGGGTTGGAGCATTATTATTTACTTATAACAGCTGAAAAGCTGTTTTTAATTGTACAGGGAAGCTTCCCTAATGATTGCCAGATTCCTCTGGCAGTGAGGAATTTGGTAACACCATGACATATTAGGCCCTTCTTAAGACATTCAGATACATAGTGCTAAGAAATCCTTGGGAGCGGTGACCTGTAATTCTCCCAAGCTCCATTTCAGAAAAGGCAATTCTATTCACTTTTAGTAGCCAATGAGCACAGGGAACTCTCTTTTGAAGAAGTTTCACCAGCAATACAAGAACTACTTGAGCAGCAAATATTTTATACCAACATACTGGCTGTTAGAGTTTCAGGTAAACGGAAATCCCTGCTTCTAAATTCTAGTACAGTCTGATATGACCATGAGGATAAGATTCAATGGTTCAGTTAGTTAGCGTCTCTTCAGAAAGATGCTGTTGGTAGGGGGATTGCCATAGTATGTACTTTCCTATTAGTCTTTCAGAGACTCATGTGGCTTTGTAAGCAGTCATTAAGGAAGCTTCCCAGTACAGTTAAAAACATATGCCTAAATACTGTTTTTCAAAATGACACAAATATTTAAATACCAACACAAAAAGTCTATGTAAAGGTGCCAGATACTTATACGGTAAGAAAAGCCAAAGAATTTATGCATAAGTATGTGTCTTACTGCCTTCTATCTGAATAAACACTGCCACACAGTTTATAAAGACTTGAAAATTCCATCCACTAAATCTACATATTTTATGCAAACCTTCATGAGACACTACCCGACGGTGACATCAGAGTTCACATTTAACACAAGTTCCAAAAGGATAAAGCAAGCAAGCAAGCAAGAAAGCAGTCACTTTTTATGAGTAATATTAGATATTAGGGGGAAGTATGACTCTAAAATTACCACTTCACTTCAGGAATTTTTTTAAAAATGCAATCTCCATGCCAGATAATCCCAGCCAAGGCTAGGAGCAACTCTTCAAAGTCATCCATATGGAGGTTATATCTTTGGAGAACACAGTTTATATGCAAAATGAAGATGAGCTTTTGCAAACAGTTATGAATTCATTTCATTATATGAATAGCAATGGATATAATCATGATTTTCAATTCATCTTGACAAATATTTATTGAGCTTACCAGACATGGTGATATGCCTACAGAGAAATTACATATCATGGAGAAATTGAATGTTGAAAGGAGCATGTGGTAAAAATACATAATATGGGAGACTGGATTAAGCACTGGTTCTAAAGTCTTAGAAGTGGATAAACTGAGTTTGAAGCATGATGTTTGAAATGTTAAGGAGTTCACAATTTTTGTTACCTAAAAGTAAGATGTAAATCAACAACACAGATGTTAGCAGAGATGTGGAGAAAAAGGAACACTCAGGGCACTGTTAGGTGAGAATGCACACTGATGCAACCACTGTGGAAAACAATGTGGTGTTTCCTCAAAAAGTTAAAAATAGAACCACCTTATGATCTAACAATTGCACTAGAGGGTATTTACCAAAAGAATACAAAAACACTAATTCAAAAGAATATATGCACCACTATATTTATAGCAACATTATTCACAATAGCCAAGATATGGAAGCAGCCCGACTGTGCATTGATTTATAAATGAATAGAGGAGAGATGGTACATATACAATAAAATATGACTCAGCTATAAAAAAGGATGCAATCTTGCCATTTGCAACGATGTGAATGGAGCTAGAGTATAATGCTAGGTGAAGTAAGTCAGACAGAGAAAGACAAATACCATATGATTTCACTCATATGTGGAATTTAAGAAACAAAACAAAAAAGCAAGTGAAACGAACGAGAGAGAGAGAGAGAATCAAAGCAAGAAACAGACTTTTAGTTATAGAGAACAATCTGATGGTTACCAGTGGAGAGGTAGGTGGGGGACGGAGATTAAAGTATGTACTTGTGATGAGCACAGGGTGATGTGTGGAAGTGTTGAGTCACTCTTTTATACACCTGAAACTAATATAACACAGTCAACTAACTGGAATTAAAATAAAAACTTTAAAAAAAATGTTTTAAATAGTAAAATAAAATACAAAAAAACAAGTAAGATGTAAATGCAAATATTGAATTCAGGAAATTACAACAATTAGGGATTTGGGATTTGTTTGTACATCACAGATAATTAAAACCAAATAAATAGGTGAGATGGCCAAAGAATATGTAAAAACAGGAGGACTGTGGACAGAATCTCGGGGAATACCTATGCTGACAAGCAGGAGGAAGCTGGGCTGATGAGAGAAACTGAGAAGGAACTTACATTACTTGTGTCTGAAGCAACAGGTAAAGAGCGATTCTACACTACCAAATGATGCAAAGAGGAGATGAAAGTATCTCAGCGGTTAAAGGTCATTGGATTTTCTTATGATGAGGACATTGAAGACCTTGGCAAAATCAGCAGGCTAGCAGAGGGTGAGTGAGCAATGGGTCAAGGTGTAGTTTAGTTTTGTATCCTTGTGTGAGGTTTCTAGGCCAAGGATACAGTAGAGAATGAAATGAACAAATAAAGCCAGTAAGAAAATAGCTGATAAAGAAAGGTCTTGGAAATGGCAGGAAAGGATAAAACTGAGAACAGACTAGAGACTGGTTAGTCTAGGAAGGAAGGATTATTTCTCAGGTGTGGGGCAAGCAAAGAGAGGAGGATCAGTGAAAACACCAATTTGCCCAGGTGTAAAGAGGATGCCAAGGAGAGCACATCAGCAAATTCTCAACCTCAGACCAATACAAGCTGAAATTAAGGGAGTGAGAGATTCAGATCTGGGGTTTTAAGTAAGACCACAATAAGAATTTCATAAGAAAGGTATACTTTGAAATTACTATTGAGCCAAGAAGAAATATCCACATCTTAAATTGATTGAGGTCTGAGTGCAATTCATTTCTTAGCTCAGAATACCTGTTGTACCACTGCAAATCTTATAATGAGGTTTACAGACACATCTTATATCTCTTTCTTAAGCTAGTAGAGGAATTACCTAATTTAATAAAGTAGTTCTGATATTATAAGTAAAGAGATTTCATCACTTCCTGCAAGGTGGTCAGGAATGTGTGAAAGATATTAAGTACCTTCTGACTGGCAAACTAGAGTTTTCTTCTCTTGAGTAGTGCTTCTCAAACTTTAGTGTATATCGAGCTACCTAGAGGGCTTGTTAAAACACAGATGGCTGAGTCTTATCTCTCGAGTTCCTCGATTGGACGGCTAAACTTTGCATTGCTAACAACTTCTTGGGTAACACTGATTTTGTTAGTCTGGGGAACACATTTTAAGAACCTCTGCTATAAAGTCAGCCATTCTACATTCATGTAAATCTCTAAACAAGAGTATTTTTCACCCAACTTGTCTTAAATTGGCAAACTACAATTGTGAGTGTATTAAAATACTAACATTAGTATTTTCAAAAAAGCTATTTTTTAATTAAATTTACTTTTAAATGTTACCTAGAACTGTCATTATCATTATCACTGGAAAATGGTTCCATGTATTTGTTAAAAAGTTGCAGAATTTGGGGCACCTGGGTGGCTCAGTGGGTTAAGCCTCTGCCTTCAGCTCAGGTCATGATCTCAGGGTCCTGTGATCGAGCCTCACATCGGGCTCTCTGCTCAGCGGGGGGCCTGCTTCTCCCTTCTCTCTCTTTGCCTCTCTGTCTACTTGTGATCTCTCTCTCTGTCAAATAAATAAATAAATAAATAAAAATTAAAAAAAAAAAAAAGAAGGTTGCAGAATTTGCTTCAGTTGAGAGAAATACTACCCATGCTTAAAATTTGTTCCCATCCTTTCATTTGGCTCATAATCACTGTATTTCACTATAATATGTGCCAGGGACTATTCCAGGTGCTTTTCATATATTAATTCCTCACAATTCCTTCAGTATTTGCTCCTCACAATAACCCTATGAAATAATGTATTTCACTAACTCCATTTTACAGCTGTGGTAATAGGCACAGAGATATTAAATATCTCAGTGAGGGTCCAACAGACATCAACACTGGAGTCTCTCTGGTTCCAATATTATAGTCCTTACCTCTTATGCTCTTCTGTTACACATTATAGTTTGAGCTCAAATAGTTACCTGTGCCGAGAAACAGGACATGGTATCTACCATCAGCAGCATTCACTCGATCCACAGCTATCTTGGTGTATTTGTAGTCAGTGCCTATACGAACAATCAAAGGCCTTCTGTGGATTGGGTAGACAGAATTGTACATGAGAGGATGGTTCCGGATAAAAGTGACAACATCATCTGGGAATTCCTTAGTGGTCCGCATATTGGGTGTAAATGCTCCTCCTGGACACTAATAAAATATTTTAAAAGAGAAATAGTAAAGAGTTATTTTATTTTAGTGATAACCAAAGGCCTCTACTTTTCAACATACTCAGAAGCTTAAGTTGTTGTAAATACAGATCCTCCTCAACCTATGATGGGTTTAAATCCTGATAAAGTCATCATAAATTGCAAATGTTGTAAGTTTATAAAACACATTTGATACATTTAAGCTATTAAACATCATCGCTTAGCTGAGCCAACCTTAAACATGCTCAGAACACTTATATTAGCCTGCAATTAACAAAAATCATGTAACACAAAGCCTATTTTATAATAAAGTGTTGAATAATTTACTGGATACTGTACTAACAGTGAAAAGCAGAATGGTGGTAAGTGTATGGCTTGTTGACCTTTGTGGCTGTCTGGGAGCTACAGTTCACTGCCCAACCCAGCATCATGAGAGAGGATCGTGTCACAAATCACTAGCCTCGGAAAAGATCAAGATTAAGTATTCAAAGTACAGCTTCTGCTGGGTGTGTATTGCTTTTGCACCATCATAAAGTCAGAAAAACCATAAGATGAACTATCCTTAGTGGGGACCATCTGTATTTGCTATCTGTTGAAGAGAAATCAGCATGACTATATATCTATAGAAAATTATTTAAAAAGATACACAGTTTGACCACTAGAGCAAGGCTAAGTCGACTGATCCTAATTCCATTTGTTTTCAGAGAGCAGTTGATGCCATTTACCCTTTCCACCCATCACTTTTCTGTTCTTATTCTGTGCCACTGACAGTGTTACTAGGAAAAAAAGAAAAAAAAATCTGTGGATATAATCTAATGCTATTACTGGCTAAAATAGATCATCATTATCAAATTCAGTCAGAACTCTAATGTGCAAGAGTTTTATTCCACCTGATTCCCTCCTCCCAGAAGAGGGATCTCCAAAGTTGGGGCACGGATTGGGTGTGGTAAATTAGACCTGATAGTTTCCTTCTAGAAAAGACTCCTATGATTTCTATTACTCTTAGAATAAAATTCCAACAGCTTAGCATGAACTAGAAACCCCTGTATTTCTGGTCCTCCTCTATCATTCCCAGAATAGTTCTCACTGCTCCCCCTCTAGGACCTTGGCACTTGCTACTCCCCATTTGAAACATGCTTATCCAGACAATTCCATGGTTTTCCCTGTTACCTCCTTTAGCTCTTAGTTCCCCAAAATTGCTTCTTTAAAGGTGGTGACACATAATATACCCCATCTCCACCTCCACTCTCTAGCTCCTTAACCTGCTTTATTCTTCTTCACAGCTCTATTTACCTAACTCTATATTATGATTAGTTGCATGTCTGTTTTTTTGTCTGTTTCTCTCTCTAGAATGTAAGCTACGTGTTGACCTTAACTGGGTATATTTTGTTCACTGTTTCACTCTTAGACCTATACCAAAGCTGACAAATAGTAGATATTCAACAAAGAGTAATTAATGAGTGAATGACTCTGTTATATCTGACATTCAATTTTGGTACAGGGGATGTATGAAACAAGAGCCTCAATTCTGCCAGGAGAGGCAAGATTCAGAACATTAAGTTCAAAGAGGCAGCTACAAAGCAATAACAAGATCTGAAAAAGGAATGCTGGACAACTTCAGCAGTTCTGGTAAGAAGGCATGACAAGGGCTTCTGGGGAGAAGATTCCATTTATAGGGCATCCAAGGCCAAGCTCAGTGGTAGGCTGGGAGCTGCTGAAGCTTAGAACTCAAACTTATCCATTAATAGGATCCAAGTGCTAAGTTATACAAGTGAAACTGTTAGGTATAATCTTTAACACATATACACATTATTTGTGTAACCCTATTAAATATCTGACAATATTTCCACTTTCAAAAGCAAAAATGCTTTGTCATATTTTCTTGAAAGAAAAGCACTTCTGTTCTAATTTTCATTTATTCTCTTAAGAGAGGTAGAAACTAAAGGAAGGGAACAAAGCAAACTTTCTGATCAACAGCAATGGGTACAGCATCTGGGCAAACCGTAGGATATAATAGGGACAGTAACAAACTGGAAAGTTGTGCATTATTTAAAATTGGCAATGAACACTCATTTCTAGGTGATTGCTTCTGTGCAAGAATATAAGCCTAATGTGGTGAGATTTCAACAGAAGATAGAAATGTGGAGCTTTATGTGAAATCTGCCAAAATTATAATGCTAACTCAATGTAAAAAAAAAAAAAAAAAAAAAAGAAAAGAAAAACAACTTTAGGGACCCCAAAAAGATGGCAACCTCTGGGTTAAATCCTTTCAATAGCTAACCCACAATGTTAGTGCCTCTGGACCAGTATCGTTGGGCAGACCCATGTTTGCAAATAACTCTCAGCAAATTACTAATGCTGCCTCACTCACTTAGACTGTATTATACTGAATACAATTTTTAGACTCACTTTGACCAGTTAACATTACTAGGACTTTTTACAGGACCAGTAAATACAGTTTTTTTTTTTAATAGAAAGGCACAGGGAGCAATTAAATGACTTCACTAAGGAGAGAAAATGAGACAAGTAATAAAAGTAAGCCTCTGATTCATTATCCCATCAAGTGACTTTCATTTGGGGCTCATATGTTTTTCTTTTAGGAAAAAGCATTATATTTAAATATACATGTTTATAAATTGCCCGCAAAAAAACCCAAATGGGGACAAAGAATTTCATCTGAGGGTATTCTAAAATGATGGATGTGTTCCATACTTCTGCAAAGTGTAGAATTATGGGTGTTCTCTATCCTCATTCCTCACACAAAGTGGAAAAAGGGAAATGCATTGCTCACTGAATGAAAAAATGGAAAGAACAAATGCATGGGCAATCCAGTTCCTCATAAAACACCGCTAATTATGGTTTGCTAAGCTGAGATGTCTCCTTAAATATTTGCAAACATTCTCATTTGTAAGTTCCAGAAAGATCCAAAGTTAGCATATATTACTAGGCAATTTATATAATTTCCAGTTAGCATTTATTTCCATGTGTGATAAGGTTATTAAATTGTAAGTGTGTTAGTCTCTGGGTTTTAGTTAATTTAAATTCGGTTAAAAATTATGTCTCATGTGCTCAAAAGTGAACTTATTAAATAGGTAACCCAAACAAATCAACTCAAATCAGTTACTTTATATTCATTCAAATGTCCCCCATTTGGGACTTTTGTTTTATGAACTTCTTACTTAGAAACCAGTGTTTCCTGGCAGGAGTATTTTCAAATTTACAAAAGAAGCCTTTTTGACAATAATTAATTTTTTCCATTGATTCGTGGAATAAACTTTGCAGATAAGACACAGGATGGGTGACAATGATAGTGACAAGGACAAAAATGGATTACTGTTTGGAGAGTCTCTATCTGGACTTGTGAATTTGTTCAGTGTAACGTTACCAAGAATAAATAAGATGCAATTAACTTATCCGTCACCTTGTGATATGTGAAAGCATGTGTACTGAAATCTCAAGATAATATAATATCCACATACTGCCATAAAATAAAGCCTCTGTCCATGAATGAGGCTGGTGTCTCATTCTTCAGAAGGCTGACTGAACTCTACAAATAGTCATTAAGTAGTTCGGTTTAAACTTCTCCTTTAAGCTGTTTTTTTCCAGTTCTAGTTTTCTGTTTATCAAGGAGTGATAAGACTCCTTTTTTGAGTAAAGACATTTTAAGTGTTTTGATTACTAAAGTGTTGGGTGAAATGCTAGGAACAATAACAATGCCATGTTAAGGAAGTATCAGCAATTGTTGCCCTCAACCAAATTTCTTTCCTATTTTTAGGTATCCTTGACATCTGCCAACTTCTGATGCTCCTAAATCTCACATATATGGTCCTAGTTTCCAATATTAATGTTATTCAGGGGCGCCTGGGTGGCTCAATGGGTTAAAGCCTCTGCCTTCGGCTCAGGTCATGATCCCAGGGTACTGGGATCGAGCCCCGCATCGGGATCTCTGCTCGGCAGGGAGCCTGCTTCCTCCTCTCTCTCTGCCCGCCTGCCTCTCTGCCTATTTGCGATCTCTGTCAAATAAATTAAAAAAATAAAAAATCTTTAAAAAAATATTAATATATTCATGTATTAATTCACATAGCTATTCTTTGGTTACTTTTTATTCAAAAAGCATTTTGATGTGCCCAGTGGGGGACATAATAAGAAGCCACCATCATCTTGTAGACATAAGTATTCTAGTAAGGAAGATGGGCATATTCAAAGTAAAATAAGGTATATAATAATAATTCAGACAAATATAAGATAAATAATTTAGAAGATTATAAAAATATGAGATAAATAACAATTTTGGTTCACGATCAATTGCCATATATGCATAAGATGCAATATTTTTTAAATGAATTCAGACTAGAAGAGAACTTAAGGCTCTCAGGGTTGGTGAAAAGGTTTAGAGATAGAAAAAAAAAATGGAATATTTAGGAAACTATAATTCCTGGGACATTGATGGATCACAGAGCACAAAGTGGAAGAAAGAGGTAGGAACTGAGGTTAAAGACTACAGAAAATAAGAGCAAAACTAGTCAGAGAAGGAGTGACGGGCATGGTCAGGGGGAGCTTGACCTAAACACTTGCAAGATGAGTGGTGTACGGATAAATTTATGAACATAAATAAATGGCATTCCAGAATCTGTGGTAGTTTCTGGCACTAGTCTTTGGAACTTGTATTTTTAGAGAAACTGAGCTCATGCTTAAGGCCTTGATAATCTAGGCCCTTTATTTAAAGCCCAAAGATTTATATAGCTGAAGAGTCATACTTATGTACCAGGTGATCCTCATTTTACCTCCATTTATCCACCATTGCTGACAGGAGTGCTCTATTCCAGTCCTGCTAGTTCAGGCAGAGCTTCTAGAACTCGCTTATTAATTTCTATCTTTGCCTTATAATGTAAGCTGTAGCCTTTCTGGAATATTATTCTTTCCACACCTAAGTTATCCAAATCTGACTGCCTTCAGGGCAAGCTCGGTCTCCTATTTTTATATGCCTTCTCTACACAAGGCTGTCCCACGACAGTCTCTCTCTCTCCCCTAAACTTCAATAGTATTTATTATCTATTTTATTCATGGATCTTGAATAATGATATGAAACAACATATAATGCATTTTTCATGTCTATAACCCTTATATACTTAATTTTATTGTAAACTTCCCTAACAATGTTTTAAACATTTGTGAAGACTAGAAATATTTCTAATGTAAGAATCACCGAAAGATACATGGAATCAACAAAAGTGTCAGCAATAAAATTCTTTTTCTGGCCATCACTCACTAAGTGGGTCACAGATTTTCCATGTTCTCTTGCTGTACCAGGTACCAGGCACAATGATGAATGCAAATGGTTCTAGTCCACTCATAAATAGACATTAAAACAGAACACTTCTATTAGGTTCTGCTTTAAACAGAAGTGTATAAGCAAAAATAATTTTCTATGGGAGCTTTATACACGTTGCAACAGAATAATGTCATGTGTTAGCTCAGCCACAGAGAGAATATGCAGTCTTTGGCCGCCCTTTGCAACATACCAAAGGTGTCTTGTTTCTTCCACAAACTTCAATTACTTATGGAAAAACATTATGACACAATTGGCAGGCTTCTTCCCAATGACTTGGGTTTGCTAGTTGGGGCAGTTTGCTAACATTGCCATCAACCTGGCTTTAAAAGAATCACCTACAGGGAACACTAGAATGAGGGTAGACAATTCCTGCTCCTGTCATTTCTTTAAGAATCCAGTCATGGATTTATGAGATTGACCCGGCAACTGGACTACTGCATAGGGAAATAAAGTAGAGCAATCACAGTTGATGTTTCATGGGAGGACTTCAGAAGCAACATTTTTAGCCCTAAAGAAGAGGGAATGCTCTGGGTCACTTGGCTGTAGGTCTTCCTACTACATCAGTGGGATACGAAACCCTGGAAGCCTAGGAAAAAGACAGACGCTGGCCATGTGAGTCAGACAGCTGAGACTTCCTGGTGTGTTGCTCAGGGAAGGGTGGAGGGACCAGATCTTCTGGGAGGTATGCTTTCCAGAAGGAGTTCCAGAGGTCTTCCTCCACCCTGCCTGTTTCCCTCCCTAAGGATCACTCATCTGACAATTTTTTTTATTTAAGGGAGCTGCTCTGGTCTCAGCACCAGATGTAAGAAACCACATTATAGAAATATGTCTCAAGGACTGACTACTCCCTTTTTTTTCACAGCGTCAGCTCCAGATGTGTGTTACTAAGCCCTGGTTTACACCATACTACTTTACAACAGAAAAAAATGTGCTTATTCTTAGGAGCTTGGAAATAGTGAAAAGTGGGACTGTTAGCAAAATTTTCTAATTTAACATTGGTTTATTTTGTTATACTAAAAGGGTTTTTATCTATTCCCACATTTAATGTAGAGTAATTGCTATTCGACATGAGTGGTTTTCTCAGTATGATTCCTGAGAGTCTTTTTGAACTGTCATTTTGGTGAAGTCTTGATGAGGGGTAGGAACAGGAGTGGCTTTTCTTCAGGAAAAAAAATTCCCTGAATTGTAACACTTGTCAGTTTTCAGACTGTAACTATTCTCACCATGCTGATCTCAAGTTAGTACTGTGAATCCTTACTTGAGATGAGGCACATACAATTTGCTCTTGTAAATTGGGTATAAACTAGTTCCCACATATACTCACTGAGGCTCTGAGGCCTCAAACCTGAACCAATGAGCATGGCTCTCATTTATCTGTTTTTATTTATCTGGGAAATTTATCTTAAGGTAATACTTGGGGGAAAACAGAATTTTGTTGAGTTTACAAACCCAGCTGTTCCTGTATACGTATGTTGTTAAAAAAAACAATTAATGAAATCATATACAATCACAATTGTTAATTTTCTGTATTAAGATGAAGCAATGACTTGGTCAACTTCAAACAGTAAATAATTCTCAAAAAGAAGACTTAGTTTGAATAGATTATCAGTGAGTCACCTGAGAGTGCATGAAATACACTGAATGAAATAAAGAGAGCCATAAGTTATAATGGAATTTGAAAGTTGTTTGCCTTCCCTTTCACTTTGCCTCCTCTTATATAATCTCTGCTTCTTATCCAACACATCCCAACTTGAGGTACCCTAAGATCAATATATCTATCGATATCTTCCTTGTGTTACACCAAATAATTATTTTTTCACTTTCTCTGAGCTATGAGCATCAAAAAGAGATCACATATAAGAAGACCATGAATTGTATAATAGGACTTTGTCCCCAGCCATGATTAAGTGCGGCTTTTTAAAATTTAATTCTTTCACAGCTAAAGAGCAAGGATGATAATCTTTCCAGTTAATTAAAAGTTAATTGTTCCTGTAAAAGATATATCAATGATTAATCTTTGAGCTTCTTAGCCAGGGAACCAAATTTGAGCTCTTTTATTTTTTAATAAATTGGGTTTAAAGGCTTAGGAAACTATTTTTCCTATTTTTTAAAAGAAATTTGACAGCAGTATAATTTAAGATGATGAAAAAAATAAGGGACTGAATAATACACTGCAAATAAACTCTAATAATAACACACAAAATAAAGTGAATCAATAATCCGTAAAAATTATGTGGGATGAATATCTGAAAGAATTTTGGTGGAGGAAATTTCATATTCAAGTAAAAAGGAAAAAGAAACATTTTAGGAAAATAATATTTTAACAATTATCTTTTAATTATTTTCCATGAAAACATTCTTCTTTATTCACATCGCTCCAGTTTATAAATATAACCATATTCTATGAAATGCAAAAATACAAAAAAATTATATTCCTCTTGATAGTCAGTTGAAAATTATATTCCTCTTGATTGTCTCTTTTCAGTGTACTCTATGACATTTTATAGAGATAAAAACTAATCAATATTCTAGAATTCAATAAAGCATTACAAGGGGCCAAATGAAAAACAAACAGTAGGACTATGATCATTGTTGTCCTAGGAAAAGTTCAATTCCAATCTGTGAGTGCACCATCTGTAACTTCAGCTAGAAACGTTAGCTTTGAACGTACTTCTTAATACTGCTAATATACCATATACCTCAGAATTTTATAGTTCATAAATATTTATTGAACTATAACATCACTTCCATTGTGTTTATTTACACATACTATTTTCTTTTTTTTGAGAAATGCACAGCATATAATTTTTCATATATCCCTTAAAATTCAAAGTCCACATATATTTTATCTCTAAATTAATTCTTGTAAGGTTATTCCTTTATTAAAATAGGTGAGATTCATTAATATCAGGAAGGGTTGCTAAAAGCAACTACCATTCAAATTCTTTCAGGCTGACACCAAAATGTTAACACTTTCCAAGCTATGGCTTTTATGCGAATAAAATTAGGAAATATCTCTGTCCTGTTTCATATATCCAGTTGTCTTGAAGTCTAAAAGAGATTTTATTAGTAATAGTACATAGAAAAAAACTGTAGAGGGTGCTATATTTGTAAAGTCCCAAGTGACCTGAAAAATTATAATGAGTTTATCGGTTGGTCTATGGCTGTATTTAATAAACACGAACATGATATTCATATCTTGTTAAATTATATTTTCTAAAACCCAAAATAACAAAGAAACATTCCTGGATACTTACAGTTCCAGGGCGAGGATATGGAATTCTACCCTGATAGGAAATCAGCTGATGATTTGGCCCTTCTTTATGGGCAAAGGGCCCATTAAACACAGTCTGTATATCAGATAAATGATACACACACACTGCTGATCCTTTAAAAACCGAGCTAAAAAAACAAACAGAAAGAGATCTATTTTCTTATTTTCTTAACTCTTAAATACAATTTTAAAAAACAGATAAAGTTTGTGATAAAAGTTGATATAATTCATCATAGAAAACTTGAATGCTACAATACACACTATAAAACTAAAAATTTTCTATTATTTTGAAATAAGCCATTGACACATAAAATATTAAAACATTTAATTCATCCATGGAGGTAGTAGGCAGTAATAAGTTATAAAAGAGTCATCAATGTTCCCAAAATATAGGACAAGTAAAGAAATTTCTAACTAGCTTATCTTAATAAGAAAAAATAAAGTGATGATTTATTTAAAAATATGAGTTTGAATTCTAAGTTACCATCAATACAATCTATCATAATTTAACTCAGAGAAATAAATCTCATTAGGGAAAATGGTATCTCTTTGCCTTAAGATTATTTTAATGTGAGAATGTTCCCACATGTATCCTAAAGAGTAGCTAGAAAAGTCTGTTGTCATAGTCTCTGTATTTTTCCTGTTAGTAACAGAAAAAAACAACAGACTCTGAAAGAGATTCATTACATTAACTTTATCAATAAAATCTCATAGAATTTGTTTGGATCCTTACTAAAGACTATTTCTGATGTTACTAAGGCAGATTGACTGAAACAAACATTGTGATTCATATATATCTCCTAAATCAGATGCTTAATGGAAAACTTAGATGCCCATTGGAAAAAACAAGATACATTATTAATCATTAGCGTCACTGGTCAGAAATGACAATTTTGAATTTTTCAAAAAGCTACCGGGAAGAAAACAAACACTATAGAAATATTTTTTGGGGACGAACATTTTCTTCTTAAGAATTTCGTTCTTGGGGCGTCTGGGTGGCTCAGTGGGTTAAAGCCTCTGCCTTCGGCTCAGGTCATGATCCCAGAGTCCTGGGACGGAGCCCCACGTCAGACTCTCTGCTCCGCGGGGAGCCTGCTTCCTCCTCTCTCTCTGCCTGCCTCTCTGCCTACTTGTGATCTCTGTCTGTCAAATAAATAAATAAAATCTTAAAAAAAAAAAAAGAATTTGGTTCTTTTCACTTTGTTCAATTCCTTGTGAGTTAAATCAAGACTACTTTCTCTGTTAGAACAGGAGTTAAACTGTCCATCCTGAAGGACATCTTTTTACAAGTTTCATAGGGCAAGTGTAAATATGATTTATAATCAATATTTCTGTGATTTTCTTTTACTTTGAAGGGCTCATTAACAGTTTACAATTATGCTGTGCTTGCCCCACTGGAAGAGAATGCTAAAATCTTTAAGTTTCTGCTTTATAATTGATGGTCTCATAAAAGGGACCCATTGTATTCTTCATTGGCCATGTCACAGCTGGAGTATTGTGTTGCATTCTGAGTAACATTCCAGTGTAAAATGAGTAAACAGAAGCATCTCTAGGAAAGGGTGAGAATATGGCAATTGTCTGGAAATATATGACAAGTGGGACTGGATATCCCAGAGAAGTTAGAAAACATTAAACCTATCTCCAAATATATGAAATACCGTCATATGGAACATGAAAATTAGTGCAATATTTTATTAGTTTCTGAAGAGTCATCATTTTAGATTGCTCCAGAAGTAAAATTTATTTTAATAGAAATACCAAAAGTTTTAGGTGAAACATTAGTCTTCCACTTACTGAAAACTTACACTTAAAACAAAATAGCTTACATACTTCCTGCATTATCATTCATGTTTTCCTTTCTTTGAGAAAAATAGCATATAGTCATCAAAAACACTGTTCAAACCTATTTTGAAAGTGTTAGTTCAGCTTAAACATATTTTGGTAATCAAGCAAAAGTAGTAAAACAGGACAATTACAACCTGAATGTTATGTAAAATTAAAAGTTGAAAAGAATATTTTGTAATAATTACTATTACTCAATAAAGTTTATTGTTTAATCCATAAGCTGTAATTGTTTAATAATTACCTTGATGTTGTAAAAATGCCATACACTAGTGTTGTCCTTGGATTATCAGTTTCGAGTAGAAACACATCCTCTATAAAAGGAAAACATCACTCTTTTAAAGTTCCCAAATATTAACTGTATTTTAAAATTTTACCCTAAGAAAATAATTTCAACTATGAAAAGTATTATTGAGATAGGTATTCTGGCGGCATCATTATAATCTGGAAACAACTAAATGAACTCAATGACAGGCACATGGTAGAGTAAATTAAATAAAATATTATACAAACACAAAGTGGTTTATAAAGACGGCAAACTTATTGAAACCATGCTAATGAAGTAATATTAAATGGAAAAGGCACAGTGGTATATAATATAGACGAGAACCATGTAAACCGTAAACCTATACACCACGATACAATAAGATCACCAGTGTGTGTCCATGGTTAGCAGAAATATAGAAATATTGTCTTCTTTTTTCTGCATGTGCTCTCTCTTTTTTTTTTTTTTTAAGATTTTATTTATTCATTTGACAGACAGAGATCATGAGTAGGCAGAGAGGCAGGCAGGGGGTGGGGGCGGGAAGCAGGCTCCCCACTTAGCAGAGAGCCTGATGCGGGGCTCGATCCCAGGACCCTGAGGTCATAACCTGAGCTGAAGGCAGAGGCTTAAACCACTGAGCCACCCAGGTGTCCCTGTTCTCTCTTTTTTAAAAAAGATTTATTTATTTATTTTAGAAAGAGAGTGCAAGTTGGGGAGGGGCAGAAGGAGAACAAGAGAATCTCAAGCAGACTTTCCATAGAGAGTGGAGCCCAAGGGGCACTCTGTCTCAGGGACTATGAGATCAGGACCCATGACATCACAACCTGAGCCAAAATCACAAGATGGACATTTACCTGACTGAGCCACTCAGGTGCCCCTTTTTTCTACATTTTCTAAATGTCCTTTAAGGATAATATGCCACTTTTTTTAAATTTAAAAAGTAATACAAATTATAATTTTTTTTTGACCTAGGGTTAGAAATTGGAATGTGGAAGAAAACTTTTTTTTTTTTTTAAGAAAACTCTTTCAAAATGACTTTTTTTCTTTATATAAAATAAGACTTTTTTGGTTTATGGTCAAAAGAGCTATTGGTAGTTTAATTTAATCAATAATTCCCCTAATGACAAAAAGCTTAAAGTATATTAAAGCAAAGCCAAACATATGGGTAGTTTGGTTCAGTAACACATATGAGAACCTGGAAGTAGATTTCTGGTGGGAACCCTTAGTTGGCAATCAACTGTTACAGTTAAAAGAAAAATTTGAATTTAGTGACACTTGTGCAAATTAAGATTCTTGCTGGGAAATACAAAGAAAGATGTGTTTATTTAAATTCACAATGAACTTAGGACTTCTTAAGCAATAAATTAATAAAGAGAAGACTTTCCATATGTGAACAAAAGGCTAAACTGTCTGGCTTTCCCTAAAAAAACCCAGGTAAGACTGAAATACCCTAAGTCATTAAAACATAAACATACTTGCAAAGAATTTGGGGAATATAATGTGTGAGTAGGTTATAACACAAAAGTCATACTTGGAACTTTCTTCTAGAAAAGCTGATGCAGGGGCGCCTGGGTAGCTCAGTGGGTTAAGCCACTGTCTTCCACTTAGGTCATGATCTCGGGGTCCTGGGATCTAGCCCTGCATTGGGCTCTTTGCTCAGCAGGGATCCTTCTCTCTCTCTCTCTCTGCCTGCCTCTCTGCGTACTTGTGATCTTTCTCTGTCAAATAAATAAATAAAATCTTTAAAAAAAAAAGCTGATACGAAGACTTTTGTTTCTATGATCAATACACTGGCTGGCTTTTGAAGAGTTCAGCTACCTATTCCAGTTTCTACAACTGCTAGAACGAGATTTTTCTATATTGTAATGCATTTTTATTGCTTACCTTATCACCTGCCTCAAAATCTGAGAATAGCCAGCATTTTACATTTTAATGGATTAAAGCAAAATAAAAGTCATTTCTAAATGGCACTTAGTGTTCTTGATACATGATGTGTATCAAGTTCTTCTGATTAAAAAGAGAATTGTTCCTTGGTAGAAAGGAATAAGATTGTTAGTCTTATTTGACCTGGAAAGTGTCACCCTCTTCATGTCACACATGCTGAGAATACTTAATCCCAGGGTCACCAAGGAGGACTAAGACTAGAGAACACGTCTATAATTTCTACTCTGACACGGTCCCAACCAACCTTGATTCTGCTCAGTAACTATTAAAATATATAGGTCCATTCTCATACCAACTGATTTCAAGTCAGAATATTAGAATTTAAATATATATGAAATGCATAGTCTTTCAGATAAGCAAAAATATATCATTATTCATATGTAAATTATGCAAGTACATCTTTCGCTCTCAAACACACACACACTTCTTTATATATCATGGTGAATTCAATGAACTAAATGTCTCAGTAGTGCACTCAGAGGCAAAACAGATTTAAAAAACACTTAAGGAAATTTATGAACAGTGTCTGGATCATTCATTCAAATTGGCAGATTATTTATGCTTAAAGCATTCATGGAAAATACACCCTCTTCTGAGAGGTTATTAAAATAAACTTTACAAACTCTTTTTCAAAAAACATTTCTCAATCTCACATCCATGTACCTAATTCATCAAAGTGTGTTTCTGGGCCGTCTTCATCGGTTACAGAGCACACCAGCCTCGCTTTTAAGAAGGTCGTCCACTTGTTGACAAGGCTACGCAGTCCCCCAGTGTCATTCTGAAACCATTTTGAAAACATACTTCAGATAGCTTAAATAAATATTCAAGTACATTAAAAATTCAGCTTGGACTTGGATTACTTGAGGATTTGTTATAATCTGAAGGGTGGAAATGCTAACTACATGTGCATACCAGTGCAGATGAATATTTAAGATCTACAGTATTTTTATAAAATAGCCATAGCTATACTAATAATTTTCTATAGTATGGTATCAACTGTAAATGTTTCAATTTATATATGCCCTAAAGCTTTCTAACTTCCAACGGTGCATGGAGAAAATATCTGGAAATTTATGGAGAACACATAATCTAATTTGTCCTAATAACTCATTGTCTTCAAAGTGAACATAAATTTTTGTATACTGTGAAGCTTGCAGAGTATACTGTGGTCAGGAAAGTGGGCTATACTTATACCAAGTGGTCTCCAATAGCTCTATTTTCTCTCCTTCATTTCTCTGTGTTATCGTTTAATCTTCAGTATTTCCAATCAGATGCTTCACTAGATATATTTCTCCAGCTAGGGAAGGGAAAATGGCATTTGGGTCATTCACAAATAGTCTCTCCTGATTTTTTTTTTCTGTATGTCCAGAAGCCTTTCACTCCTTCTGCAGGCTCTACTACCTTGGTCCAAATGACTTAAAAGCAGATGAGCTCCACAATTAATGGAATATTATAATATTTAAAAATAAACTATTTAAGGGCGCCTGGGTGGCTCAGTGGGTTAAGCCGCTGCCTTTGGCTCAGGTCGTGATCTCAGGGTCCTGGGATCGAGTCCCGCATCGGGCTCTCTGCTCGACAGGGAGCCTGCTTCCCTTCCTCTCTCTCTGCCTGCCTCTCTGCCTACTTGTGATCTCTGTCAAATAAATAAATAAAATCTTTAAAAAAAAAAATAAATAAACTATTTAAAACACTGAACACTTTAAGAAATACTTTTGCACGAAGTATGTTAGTCATAAATAAGTCAGGGCAACACTATAAAACTCCTATTTGAGAGGGCATCATGAGTTTTTTTGAGTTGCTATGTATACTTGCTATTTATACCAGAAGACTATTTTGTTTACTGTTTTTAATTAGGACTATATTTTACTAATGCACTTCTTTTCATTAGAAAATGAAAATTCCTGGGGCGCCTGGGTAGCTCAGTGGGTTAAGCCGCTGCCTTCGGCTCAGGTCATGATCCCAGGGTCCTGGGATCGAGCCCCACATCGGGCTCTCTGCACAGCAGGGAGCCTGTTTCCCTTCCTCTCTCTGCCTGCCGCTCTGCCTACTTGTGATCTCTACCTGTCAAATAAATAAATAAAAATCTAAAAAAAAAAAAAAAAAAATTCCTCAATAATTGTCTTTATTGAGGTTTTGCTATATTTTGTTCACAAGAATTATTGTTTCTTTCTGTAACATACAATTTAGCTATTTGTTTTCAATACAAATGCATTAAATGCAAAAAAATTAAACAAAAACCATTTATTTGTGTAAAACCATGAAAACAGTATTTCCTTGAATCAAGCTTTTTTATCTCATATGACTGATGTGAATAAACAGTAAATTAAAATGTCTCCCTCAATATTTCATTAATTTTGTAACTACAAGTAAAAGTGGCAAAATAAACTATCAGCAAAAGAAAACATATTTATATGATTTAAATTTGTGTCTTTCCTCAAATTAGGACAAGATTAATACTTACAGGACATATTCTAGCAATCATGGAATGAATCTGTTTTGTGCTTCTGCTATTGTCAGTCAGTTTCTCTTTGAAGAAGAAATACACCTTAGCATCATTTGGATCTGTGCCATCTGGGATCACATGTGCATCCACAAACATAGGTTCTGAGAAAAAATACAAAGACTATATATATATATACTCCTGATGGAAATCCATCTACAGTTCATGCAAATAGATCACAGGCATATGGCTTCTTCATCTTTAGTATAGAAGAATAATTCCATGTTCATAGGCAGAATCTAACAGCAATAATTGTATTCACACAACATATTGTATTTGGAATGTCAAGTGCTACAAAATATATCTATAATAGTTTAAACTATTTTTTCCCTGTCTGCAATACATTCTAGAAGTTCAGTAAATGCAAAAATCCTTTGTGCAGGGATGAGTTCTAACAAATCAAAATGCTTTTCTACCAGCTATATCCCGTGGAATTGAATGGTCATTTTATAGGGGAAAAAAAAAGTTTGTTTTTTGAAGTATAGTTTTCAATCTAGTGCATAAAAACTCAAATTCACTGAAGCAGAATGTAGAGCCGGGAGTACAAGATCTCAAAAACGTTTTTTTCTTAAGACAGCATATGAAATGAAGGGGAAATTTTTCAAGGAAAAAAATGCAGTCATCTGAAGACATAGAGGGATTTTTTATTTCAAGAACAAAACAAGTTTTAGAATACTCTATTTCCAGATGTCCTGGAGTCATAAATTGAAGAAGTAAATGGACAATCGCTGCTTTCTTGTGCCTGCCTATCAGTGAAGTAAGATGCTGAACTGTGGTGATTCATGCTTTGCTGTGCAATGTTAAATGAATTGTCAAATTTAGGGTCAGCTAGAAACCATCCCCAGGGTGAAATGACAAAGATCGTAGTGGTTTCTTCTTCTAAGCAGCAGCAACCGATTGAAATTGTACATTAAAGTCAAATGAGCATCTTTCATGATGTGAATGTCATGTGACTCTACCCCAAATTAGAAATAAATGACTAGTGATAATCACAAAGTTATCATACATATGATTTTTGCTAAGTACTAAATCAATTATTAAAAATTATACATACCAGTTTTATCATTTAAGAATCTAAGTATAAAACAAATAGGAGTTCCTGAAAACACCCTAGTCATTATATCTAACTGTCATAAATTTAGGAAAATCTTCAGGCTTGACATTATTAAAATATTCAAGCAGACTAAATGAATAAATAGCATATTTAATTGTTATATACTACAAGTAGACAACTGGAGAAGATTCTTGCATATGAGCCTGTTTAGTAAATATCATTGTCATTTTTATTTATTAATTTGTGATAATTATATGACAGTTAATAAAGAGTTAGAATATGGACTATGGACTACTTCAAGTATTTATTTTTCCTAAATATTTAAAGTCATAGAGTACAGAATTATTACATCACAGTTGAGTTTTTCAAACATTTTAACCTTTCTTCATTATAGAACTAAATCAGTTTAAAGCATGATTCTCAAAATGCAGAAAATGTTTCTTACCACTTAGCCATTTGGAATTGTGCTGATCAGTTCTGACTGCATTCCTCTTGGTTAAACTTCGAAAAATAGCAGCATCTGTGCCCATGAAATCTATATACATTCCAGAGAAAAGCTCCTCGTCTATGAAAAAGTAAGAAAATGTCAACACAATTCTAAATGTTTTTAAGGCTATTTTAAAAATCAAGGAAAACTCATTTATTAGGTAACCACACACATTACAGAGTGTTTATAATTGTTGGTTTCCATTGTCCATTAAAAAAAAAATTGGATTAAATTTAATCTGGTCTCATTATTGCCTGTATGATTACCAAAACAATTTTATTCTACATAGAAATAAAAATTCCTCTGCATATGCTTAATTATACTAAAAACCTAAGTTTATACAGTGTGCATCAAAAATGACAGAAATAATAATATGCATAAAGTTAATAAAATAGCCTAATTAATTATTACTTTCTTTTAATAAGTCAAAAATACTATAAGAGAACACTCAGTTTCTAATTTTGGCAGGAATTAACCAAGTGGGAATTAGGGCTAAGTCATTTAGTACCCTGAATCTCTACCTTCTCAACTTTAAAATATGGGAATTGGCTTATGATCTCAAAATTTTTCTCCATGTGTTAAAAATTCCATGATTTCACTACATAGGTTGAAAATACTAGTTTTTATTGTCAAAATATTATTAATGATAAGGTTATTTTATCCTTAAAAGTATATGTTTTAATTTTTAGTGCCAGAAGTTTTCTATAAGGTAATTTTTCAATTATAATACACAAAATTATTACTAACATTATGCTAAAAGTATAATATTATATTAATAAGCCACATGTAGTTTGACACATTAAGCCTTAAAAAACAGAATGCAGAGATAAAGAAAAAAATATATTTTAAAATTAAATTATCATCATTAATGGCAAAATCAGATAGTTTAATCTGTATTTGCATAACATTAGATATTGAGCTTATTTAAGGTCCATATTAATTCCTACTCTAGTAAGGACAGTAAGCATTGAATTGCTATGTGTAACCCCAGAATAAAAAAAGTAATTAAATGTCTATTTAAAAAAGAATAAAATGTATCGGGTCTGACCCACTTAACCACTGTGCAGCTTTTTTCTCTGACTGATATTCTACAATTACTCCTCTGGCTATCTTCAGATCATGGTCATTTTGGCAGGACTGAAACATTTTGAAGCACTCCAAACTCACTGCCTAGTAATAAGCAATACCAATTAACCCAGGATAGAATGGAGAATGAAATGTTTTTAATATGTGCTCACGAGGTCATGCACTGGACCCCTACTGGTTAGCAAGTGGGTATCAGCCATTGTGTTGCCCAGTTCTGCTTCTTAGTGGGGGTCTGAAACCCATGGAAACAGATTATAGGAAGATAACAAACGTTCATGAAAGCATTTGGAGCAATTTAGCTTCATTTTGTGAATATTTGTGAAGCATCAGCTCAAGTATTCTATAGACAGAACAGTTGTCAAATTAAGATAACTTTGTAATTAACTATTTTTCATTTTTACTATATTGATTACCCCCCAAATGGTGGGTTATAAATTCCTGCTTTTCAATAGATCAATTAACACAGATATTATCCTATCTGCTTCCAGGAAGAAAAGGAAAAGGACACTCAGAGGATGGTGTATGGCAGGGAGGGCTGATTCTAATCCTACTGCACCACCTCATTATTTATGTTAAAAGCCTACTTGCCTTGTTGGCTTCATATCCTGTCTTAAATTCTTAATAGTTTTATTTTTTTAAATTTTTAAAGATTTTACTTATTTGTTTGAGAGGGAGAGAGAGAGAAAGAGAGAGAGACTGAACGAGAGCGTGAGAGCACGGGGAGGGAAAAGCAGACTCCCCACTTAGCAGGGAGCCCAACTCTGGCTAGATCCCAGGACCCTGGGATCTTGACGTGAGCCAAAGGCAGACACTTAACCGACTGAGCCACCCAGGTGCCCCTTTTATTAATTTTAATAGCAAGTTAGGAATAATAAAGCTTCTGCTTTATTTGGTATAAGAAATAATTAAAAAATTAATATCACTTTAAAAAGAATTTTGAGTAGGGATGTATTTTTCAGAATGTCTGTGCTGGTTTATGCAAATAAACTGTGCCTTTTATCTTTTAATTCAAAAATCCTTTGCTTTCCAATTTTTCTTCCACTGAAAACCTCCTGAGGCTCTTGATAGCTTGAGATATCATCTAACTTCTTGCTGTGTTACAACAATGACATGAAAAAAGAAAAACAACAAAAAAGACCCTCTAAAGTTGAACACTGGTTTACGTACCACAACTATTTTATGAAATTTGAAATTCTTCAGTTCTCGATGTTTCTTAATCCTTTAATATATAGAAATACTTTAAATAATCTGTGTTATTTAGTGCCTTGCACTAGAACAGAAATGATCAAACCCCATATGGCAACGTGAGATGACTACAGAAATTCATTATGCAATATTGGAGACAATATTGGAGATAAGTTTAGAGGGATAATCAGTAGAACAAATAAAATGACAAATACAAGCTACTAAACTTATTCCTCCTTTCTGTTTTCAGTTTTGAGGGTAAGCAAATCACTTATCCTAATGTTAATCAAAATACTAAAAGATAAGGGCGCCTCAGTGGCACAGTTGGTCCAATGTCTGACTCTTGATTTTGGCTCAGGTCATGATCTCAGGGTGGTGGGATCAAGCCCCGAAATGGCCTCAGTGGTCAGCACGAAGTCTATTTGTTCCTCTCCTTCTACTCCTCTGCTTGCTCTCTTTCTCCTTCTCTCTCATAAATAAATGAATAAATAAATAAATAAAAATTAAAAAAAAGAGTGTAAGAATAAAAATTGAAGTCTCAAATCCTTGAAAAATGAAGGTCAATAACTAAATTAATTTTGTAAACAAACCCAATTCTTTAAGGACAAAAATATTAAATGATTTATCAGTTTAACAGGAAAATTTTAAATGTTCTGTTTTAAATCTTTTTTGTTCTAAATGATATTTGATGACTATTAGTATTCACAGATCTTTGAAGTTTATTTTCATAGAATTTAACTTGAAATAAATGAAAACTCTATATTTAGCTAGTATTACATATATATCATCCCATTTCGATAGATGAATACAGTTTTCTTCCTAATGGAAAGACTTTCCAAGACACTGCTTTTATTAAATAATATTCAGAAGCTTATCTGAAAAGTTTCTGCATCAGACATAGCTGAATATCTTGTAATTTCAAAGCTTTCTAATTTTTGCTCCCAAGGATATCCATATGCATTTTGTTATTCTTTCATTTGAAAGAAATATCATTTTAATCATTCATAAAATATTACTAAAATATGAGAAAAATGGGTATACTTAATACTAGAAAAGAACTACAGAAAATATTGAAAATTACTTTATAATATATATCATTCTTTTTTAAGATTTTTATTTATTTATTTGACAGAGAGAGAGAAAGAGAGCACAAGCAGAGGGAACAGGCAGAGGGAGAGGGAGAAGCAGGCCCTCCACCGAGCAGGGAGCCCGATGTGGGTCTCGATCCCAGGACCCTAGGATCACGACCTGAGCTGAAGGCAGCCACCCAATCAACTGAGCCACTCAGGCATCCCCATCACTATGAGTATATGAACACACACTTTTTGGTAAATGGTTGACTTGCTCTAGAAGTGACAGCATCATCATAGTGAATGAAAAAAAATACATGTTTATCACTCCATCGCAAGTTCTTGCAACTGATAAACTACAATTTCTCAGCTCACAACTTTCTGTTACCTCATTCTTCATATGACTATCTTGATGGGCATACCATGTCATGCATTTTAGTTTCCCTTTCATTTGGTATTTCCCCCTCCCTATTTTATTTTCCACTTACTGATCATAACAGACACTGTGTTCACATTGGGGTTGAAGGAGCAGCGTCCTTTTCCAGATTCACACTTAGAGTCAATCATAAAAACTTGGTCCTTTATTATAGAAAAAACAGAAATACAGCAACAATAAATAACTTTATATTTAGTTAACCAATTTGTTCTTGAGTAAAACAAAGCATCATCATAAATAATATGCTTTCCATTTGTTTCCTTATGCCTCTTCAATTTACTTTATTAAGACTTTCTTGGCCTATATGAAGAAAACATCTGGAAATGATAAGCAAACTTCAGCAGGCCAAAGTTCTCATCCTACTACCATCAACATAAAGCTGATCCAAAAAGTTCTTCTCAAATAAGTACCAGAAAACAAACAAACAAATAATACCAGCAAAAACCACCTGGGAATCAAGGATCATTGTAAATCAAACTAGAAAATTAGCCAAAAGAAGAAAATTGTCCACAGAGAAATAATCTATACAAGGATTATAACATTTCCAAAATAAGACATTTATATATATAATATAATATATATAATATAAAGTTTATATTACTAGTTAACTTTGTTATATAAGCATTATGCTAGATTCAACAAAGTAGAATTCATAATTTAGATAAAAATGTTTTTTCCTCTTTCATTCATTTAACAAAAATTTATTGAGTATTTACTATATGCCAGGTATTATCAAAACATTAGAAATACAGTAAATAAGACAGACAAAAATCTTTATCCTCAAGTAATTTATAATATAATGATGGAGAGTATAAATATACAAAGGATAAGTACAGAAAATATAGAATATGTTAGATGGTGTTCAGTGTTTAGGAAAAAAATTTAAGCAGAAAATGGAACTTGGGAAACCCAGCATTGGAGGCAGTGATTCAATTTGAAATATGATGGTCAGTGTAGCCTAATAGAGAAGGAATATTTTGTTGGTATATTTACCTTTTTCTTAAACAAAGGTAGCAAAAGCCACTACTAAAATTTAAAGACAAAATTTTTCACTTTTGTAGGTTGCATTAGATGATAGAAGACCTTAATTATAAAGCTAAGGTTTTTCAAAAATTTCCTGAAAGAAATTCAGGCTCAATATTTTTGAGTATGGAAATGAAAGGATCAAAACATTGCTTTAAGAAGATTGGGTCTTACCTTGGTGTTTTAAGAAGATTAAGAATGGCAATTTTATTTTATTTTACTTTTAAGATTTTATTTATTTATTTATTGGAGAGAGAGAGAGAGAGAGAGAGAGAGAACAAGCAGGGGAGGGCCGGCCAGAGGGAGAAGTAGATCTCTCGCTGAGCTGGGATGCTGTGTGGGGCTCCATGCCAGGACTCTGAAATCATGATCTGAGCCTAACCAACCGAGCCACGAAGGCACCTTGAGAATGGCCATTTTAAAAACAGACACTGGATTGAAGAAATAGATTTGCTTTCACTAGCAACAGTCTAGGAATTAGGTAATAATAATCTGACATGTCAGGATTTCAGGGATCATGGTAACAGCAATAAAGATGCAAGAGAAGTTGTAAAGTAAAAATCAGCAGACTTGGCAATCAATTAAAGATCAGATGTAGTTCAGGAAGATGAAGAAAAGAAAGACTTCTGAAGTTTTCACTCCTTAAAGAAAATAAAACTAGTTCATTTTTGTTACACTGAGTTTGATATGGTGGCAAGACATCCCTGAGATTTTAGGGAATCATAGAGTTTAAAAAGAATCACAGTCCTCTCGCCTGGAAAGGTCTTATAAAATGATCCTCTTCAATGAATTAACTCTATAGATGAGGGAAATATAACTCGCCCAATGTCATGCAGCTAAATAATGACAAAAGTAAAATTAAAGATCAGTCTCCTCAAAGCATAAGTGACTCTTAATCTCACAAAACAAACTGAGGAATCCTGGGGAGAGGGGGGTCGGGAGGGGGGGTTATGGACATTGGGGAGGGTATGTGCTATGGTGAGTGCTGTGAAGTGTGTAAACCTGGCGATTCACAGACCTGTACCCCTGGGGATAAAAATACATTATATGTTTATAAAAAATAAAAAAATAAAAAAAATAAAGATAAAAAAAAATGAAACCTGAAAAAAAAAAAGTTCAGTCTCCTGACTCTTCACTATGTCTGCTTTCCAAAAAAATTAGTATTTACAAAATGACTAAACTAAACAAATGATTGAGGAAAAACAATAAAATTTAGTAAGGCCAGTTGTGATTACTTAGTCAGAGACAGACACATATTTTACTACAAATGTGAGAGGTGGCACTGCAGAAATGGATGAAATTGTTTAGGTACCACTTGCTCTCCACTGAACTACTCCTCCATTGTTCAGCATCATTTCTCACACAATTTGAGTCTAGATCTTATCACCAGAAAGAGTGTGGTCTACCTGAATAATCACTAATTCATGCATGCAGCAACAATTCTCCAATTTCATCTCCTAGGAACCCATTTCATCAGCCTTCTCTCTTCCTGAATTTCTTTGTTAACCCATTTAGATTCTGTGCTCTTTAGTTCCACTAATTTTTTGCAGAAATATTAAGTTCCTTAAATCTCTGATTTTTTCATTGAAACCATAGCCTGGAAGGGCATGTCTGTCTATACATTCTCCATACTTGTGTCCAAACATCTAAGCATTTTGCAGAAAGTGATTCTTCAAGGTAAATTCAACATAATATAGATTTGTGATCACCAACACAAAATGGATCCTCTGTACTGCTCCATAAACTTTCAAGGATACTCTATCAACTGGTTCTTCCGTTAATAATTTCAAACCATTGTCACTATAGTCATGACAATCATCCAATTTGTTCTTAGTTCATATGATGAACAAATAATTGATCATATGATTGCAGAGTAAGTGAAGCCTTTAAATGAGACATCTTTAATTTCTCACTCCGAACACATAAATGAATATACACTAATACACCCACTAGTACATGAGAGGAACTCTTTCTCTTACTTTAAGGTCATTCCACCAATGTTTTGGATCTCATTGTATCCAATCTTCTTAGGAAACTTATACTTTCCATTATCCCCCCTCTTTCTTGAATCTTATTAACTGGAAACTTTATATCATCATTTAAAGAACCCATTCAGTTCCTACACATTACTCTCATTGAGAATCACATTTCTTAAAGAATCACATATACTCATCACCATTTCCTGACTTCTCACTTTCTTCTCAATCCATTTCAATTGGGTATTCAACCTCAATTGTTCTATTGAAACCCTTTTTTAGATCCTAATGGCAACCACACTACACAATTCCTGTTTATTTTTTAGACTTCATTTTACTTGGATTCTCAATGATATTTTAGATTATTACCCATTTCTATCTTTTTAAAAAGACTTATTTTTATTCTGAGAATGAATACATTTTTGTTTTTTCCTTCCTACTTGGAGGGTTCTTCTTCTTCCCTGGCTGTTTCTTCTTGGTCATGTTCGAAGGTCCCTTTTTCTCCATCTTGCCATTAAATTAAGAGACCCTCAAGTTTCAATCATAGTCACACTTCTGTTTTCACATTATTCCCTCTCTGCATGACTAAACCCATGCATTGCTTGGGTTTCAGTTACTCTTACAAAACAATGGCTCAAACATTAATATAGCCAACTGTATATTCAACTGCCTACTTGACATTTCTACTTGAATCTTTCAACAGCAACTCAAACTCAAGAGAACAAAGCTCAGGCTTAAAATCTTAATTCAAACATGATTCTCTTTGTTGCATCTCATCTCAGTTCATGACAAATATATGACTGAAAAGGCCAAAAATAAAAAACAAACAACAAACAAATATCTGTATCATTGTAAATTTTCTTTTACATAGCTAAATCCACTAATATCAACTATACTATTCTATACTTCATGCCTATTTTTCTGTCTTTATTGCCACTTTCTTTCTTTCTTGAAATATTATATCCACTCTCTAACTGATCTCACTCCAGGCCTCTCATTCCCTCCCCACCTTAAATCATTTGTAATGCAACACACAGGTAAAAACACAAAGCCTTGCCATACCATTTTCTTTTAAGATCATTACAGTTGCTCCTCCTTTGACACAGGATAAAGACCAACATCTTAAATGTAGCTTACAAGTTCTGAAATAATTTTGTTTTTGCCATTATTCTCATTAAATAAATACCTACTTATAGACTGGATCAGTGAGAGAAACAAGTAGGACCAGAAAGAGAGTAGGTGGTGAAAAATTAGGAAAGAAGGCATAGCGAAATGTCTCAGGTTATAGATGTCAATAAAGGCACTGAAAAACAGAGGGCATGACCAACATATTATAGATCAGTCTAGGAGAAAGGATGCTGATTAGAGGAGTCAGTTTGATCACTGAGGAATCTTGGTCACTGAGAAATAGTTTATGGATGGTAATGAAAGTCAGATCAGAAAGGCTTAATAATGACAGGAAAAACAGGAAATATAGCCTACTAGTCTGAGAAGATTTGTGATGAGTAAAGGAGAGAAAAAGTTGAGAAAAGTCACAGATCTGAGATAATGATTTTAAGGAAAAGAAACATCCTATTTTAAAACAGGAGAAAGAGTAAACATGGGAGAAAGAAAACGAAGATAGTAAACAGAATAATGAAGGTTATTGATCAAAGAAATTTATTGATAAGGAAAATCCACAACTTTTCCTCTGAGAAGAGGAAAGCTATGAAAAGATACATAAACAGATAAGTTGGGTGACTAATTTGCTTCAAAAGGCTCTGGGAATAATTTGAATGCCTGTGATATTCTTGGTCATTCAAAGATAAGTTTATCTGCTTGATGACTGACAAAACCAGTGGCTTAAAGGGTATTCAACGCTGGAACCAATGTATGGAGATATCTGATAAAATCAACCAGAAATGAGATGTAGTAATATTCTAAGAATATGCAGCAAAATTAATCAATTATAGTTTTTAAACTAATGTTTTATTCATTATTTCAAGTCATTATGTACTTGTGTTGCTTTTTTTAGGAACAGAAGACAGAGAATGAAGAGAATAGACAGAAGAGAGGTACCATGGTTAGGAATTGATGTAGCAAGGATTCGTAGGCTCTTTGGATAGGCTCTGCGAAAGCTCTGACTCAGTCTCACAGAATAATGGAAGACTCATAGGATATAATGAAAGTGTATGTGATGTTCCAAGTGTGAAGCAGGCTCATAAAATATAAGAACCAACGCATTGCTATTTGATAGGCAGATAGAAGGTGGCAGACAATGTCTCAAGAATAAAACTGAATAAGTAATGATTGTGCCATCCTAATTTGGTTTACTCTCAAACTGGTTTGAAATACAGGATAAAGGCCCTATCTTTATACCAGCCCATGGTGTTACTAGTAAGTACTACTTCTGGTCATTACAAAATACAACATTAGTGATGCATAAGAAAGAAAATTCTCTCAAAATACAACTCTCTGTATCATGTGGTCATTTTATGCTCAGGGATCTTTTATCCTAAAGAAAACAAATACAGTAGATGCTTGCTAGATCATGCATTCTATATTTATGTTATTATTTATATACTACAGATATATAAAAAATGATGTTATGGTGAAACCCTTTGACTTGAATCAACTATACACAAAGCTTAAAATTCCTAACACTTTTCCTACTTAAATTGGCTCTTATGATGTTCACATATTATTTAAAGAGATTAATTAATGGAAATGCTTCCCCCTTTGAAATGTATCTTTTGAAGTGAGACTAAAGTAGTTCATATTTAGTAAAGTGATTAAATTTTATTCCATGCCGGTTTTCCAAAGGAGATTATTTTTTGGACCGACTTTCCAATTAAGCCTCGAAGTGCATAGTGGGCAATTTGTACATGGGAAAATGATTTTATTTGAAATCTGTGCTCTGCAAACTGCTATGCTATTGTTGGCCTGTACAGTGACTGCACAGCCTTCAGTGGAGTGTCTGACAGATTGCAGACGTCTGGGGCAGTAGTTTATTTAATCAGTTGATCACAGGCATGTGGTTCTAATGACAAGCTCAACGCAGCCAACTGTAGTCTTCCAAGAAGCATAGCTTTACTTTTCTTCAAGAATTGTAATATTTCATATCATGTTGAACCACTTAGAAATGCCTCATTTGGGGTCAACTTATAATTACTCAGCTATTTTTAAATGACTTTTTATTTACCAAAAGATATGTGTGTATAAATACCATGTCTGAAAAAATTATTAGTAAAGCAATATAAAGAGAAGCATTGTTCAATTATATTTGTACTTGAGTACATTAATCTCTGTGAAAGGAAAATAAACTGAATAAGGTGTATCAGTAGCAACATTTAATCTTTTTTACAGTTCTAAACTCTAAAACTGACATTCTTTAAGAACTGGACATTCTAGATTTAAGTTGCATAAGGAAAACAAAGCCAGCTAATTTGAAATAATTAAGTTTTTTAAATGCTTCTGTTTCGTAAAACAACATGTTCGATTAAAGGAAGGAAGAAAGGCTCTTTTGGTCTGACGCATATTTTCCTTAGTCACTAATTACAAACTCAGAAAAACACAGTTTTAAGTATTATTGGAGAAGTTCAACCAGCCTTTATTTGTCTATACATATTAGGTACATACTTAGTGTTTAGCAAATGCGTTTGTTCACAGAACCCCAAATCGTTTTAACTAATGTAAGAATAAAGCTAGGAAAGTCTAGTGTAGACTAATGTTGGTCTAAAATGAAAGCATTATCCACTAACTATAGAAAGTTCTTTTCAGCAAGGACACTTGGGCTCCCTGCTTTATGTATCTCGTATAGGTATCTCATAAAAGTTTACCAAATTAAAAAGTTAAATAAGAAATTACTTAAATTAGCTTTAAGAAAGTGAGGTTATACTATAATATTTCTATAATTTGGAACAAATAGTATCAATACCTTTTTTAAAGTTACGCCATTTTTCTTTCTTTTATATATATATAAAATATATATATTTAGTTGAAGGCAAAAGCCACACTTCAGTAATTGTGGGGGACAGCAATCAAATTAAATATATTTTGAGTTAAAAGGGCTTGAACCTTTGATTGATTACACTTTTTTTTATTATTATGTTATGATTACAACTTTTTTAGATTCAAATACAGTTTTTTTAAAAAATATTTTATTTATTTATTTGAGAGAAAGAGAGTGAGAGAGAGCATGAGAGGGGAGAAGGTCAGAAGGAGAAGCAGACTCCCCATGGAGCTGGGAGCCTGAGGTAGGACTTGATCCTGGGACTCTGGGATCATGACTTGAGCCAAAGGCAGTTGCTTAACCAACTGAGCCACCCAGGTGCCCCTCAAATACAGTTTTAAGAAATCTTTGACACTAACACCAAAACTAACAATGAAAAATTGTTTCACTTACCTCTGATCTCCTCCCTCTATTCAAATAAGTACACACGGGGCTGAAAGCACCACTCCCACAAACATACAAGTGAGTGCGATTGAAAGCCTGAATAACACGGACGAAGTTCCCACAGCCATGCTGAAAGAACAAATGAGTAAGCAGTTAGCAATACAGTGACATTTATTGTTATTTCTAAGTAGTACTCTCATACTCCACCATATATTTCCTTCCTGCTCTCACTTCTTTGTTGTTGTTAGGAGATAACAAGAGAATAGCACGGTTTATTCTATTGGTTTACTTCAGGAAGAAGGTAGTTCAACTTGGATAATGAGTAAAATGGTATGTCACTCTCATATTTCAATATTTTATATACTGTGTAAGTTTTTATGTTCTGAAACTTTATGAACTTCTTCTTTATCTGAGAAAGCTGAGAAACTGAAAAGTACACCAAATTGTCTCCTCAAATTTTCATCAAAATGTTACATGTGCACACACATGTTATATAAACATATTTTGAACAAAACTGCCTATACTACACAATGGCAAACGCTACTGGCTTTTACAGTTGGCGAATAAAACAGACTGTTAAACACACGCGAGTGCTGTGATTTCATCGTTGTCTCTCTGGCCTTCATCCCCTAAAATACTTTCTCCCCCAGTTTTCTTTTTCACCTACTCCTAGTCCCACCATTGGAAAAGGTGTCCTTTGTTCACTCAATGAAATGCAAAATATTACTGTAATTTTAAGTTGACTCTGACCATGCAGAAGTATGTAAACACGGTTAGCACCAAAGGTAGATTTCTGTGGCTGAATTAATCATTGTGTGTTGTGTATTGCTAGGCTCACTATCCCTTGCTGATTACCAATTAAGCAAGCCTGAGATTGAATGTGGTTTTCTTCAGTCATTTTTTTCACAAAGAACATCATAAAAATGGTGTTAAAGGGGTGCCTGAGTGGCTCAGTTGGTTAAGTGTTTGACTTCGGCTCAGGTCATGATCTCAGGGGATTGGCATCATGCCCCGTATCAGGCTCCTCTGCTCAGCATCGACTCTGCTTCTCCCTTTCCCTCTACCCTTCCCCCTGCTGGTGCTTTCTCCCTCTATCTCCCTCAAATAAATAAATAAAATCTTTAAAAGATAAAAGATAAATAAAAATGATGTTACAAGGACAAATTTTTTTATTAATAGATATATTAAAAGGTAACAGTGGTTTTCCTTTTCAGACAGCATATGTTTCTTCTTTTTAACTCTTCTAGGTACCATATTACTAATTTTTTATAAGCACATTTATTATTTATATTATTAGGAAAGTAAAAAAAAACAAAACAAAAACCAATTCTCCTAAAGTACAAGTTAGTTTTTTTTAGAAGTCAAGTTTAAAGTCAATATTATTTTTTTCATAATATTCTCCTTTTATATTATTACTTGCTAGTGAATATATGCTTATTTTTATATGTAGTAATTTTATACAATTTCTATTATGGATTTTATATGAAACAATCAATCATTCGCTCTGTTGTCAAACAAATTAATTCTTACACACCAGACTATACACTTCATTTTTATTTTAAGACACCAAGAACTTTTGTTAAATATATAGTGTCACTATGTCTTGACACCTGTTTATAGGGGCACCTGGAAATTGACTACATAATTGTAGATGATAATGTGTTTCTCTGTAGAAAAAGAATAGATGAAGTATGGTGTTTATATAATATGTCTATGTTAAGGTTATCTGTGAGCAATGAGACTTGTGTTTATTTTTTTCACATCCAAGTTCAGTCATTCTGGGATTCTGTATATACTATTTCCCCACATAAGACATGAATTCAATTCTATTAATAATAGATTATATGTCATCTTGAGTTTTGTAGACAGTTTACTGTCATGAATTACTGGTATTGGTAAGAAGAAAGATATATCACTAATATGTTCTATATTTCAAATACATATTATACTTGTTTCATGTATATGTTTCCTATCTCTCTGTATATTTTATATCTACTTATCATGATCAATATTTGCTGGGAATTTATCATTCCCTAGACTTTAGAATGATCATTTTACATATTTAACCTGTTTTACTTCCCAGGAGGTTTGATTTTTCACCTTTATAGCTTATATTTATTGAAGGTACTTATGCCATTTGGGCACTTCACATTCATTCAGTTTGGTACAACTCAACTCCAGCAAAATAGAGCATAGAGCTTTTTTAGTTAATTTGCTTGAGATCATTGAGCTAGAAATGGGTTACACAGATTTTCAAGCACAAATGTGTTTAACATTGAATCTTGTACTGTCAATCACTTTATAATTTGTCCTTGGGTAAGGAATCTACAGTGGGTAGAGGAGAGTTTTTCCAAGTTATTAATGTTTACAGAGCTCTTAATACTTTGATGTTAAGTATTTTTAATCTTCAAAGCAATGTTCCAATTAAAGTATTAGTCCCATTTTAGTGATGAGAAACTTGAGTCCCAAAGAGGTTAAAGGAAGTACTCTAGTTTTAATAAGTAACTGAGCTGGGTCTTGAACCATGGCTACCCTCCACCATCCAATTTTTGTAAAGAAAGGGGTGGGTTCACCATGAGACAGATTTCCAGGCTACCTGATGATACCCAGTTTGCCCCTGCAACCTTCCCCACAGAGAAAAACTCAAAAGAAAAAAATAGATCAGTTAGTTATTGAAAATTATTTTCTAGGTCCTTTCCATTGCCATAGTTTTTGTTCACATTATTTCTGATTTAGACCACAGCAATCATATCAATGCTATCCAGCAAAAATTTACTGAACTCATTTTATGTAAAAACACTGTATACGGTACCAGCAACAGTGAAATAAATAAATTCATTTTCTCCTTTCAGAGAAAGGAAACCATAATACATGAGGCTACATGCGGATGCTATATTAGAGTTTGAATAACGCTGACTTAGGTGTGAGGGTTTGTAAAGGGGTGTCATTGGTGCTGGGACTTGAAGAACAAGCTAGATATTTTGACAGGCAAAAGCATAAAGAAAGAGATTTCCAACAGAAAGAAAGAGAATATGAACAAAATAATGGGGGCATGACAGGGCAGGGTTTACTCGGGAAGCAGTGCCTAGAGGGGATAGTGAATTACTGTGTGATGAAACCGGAGAGGCAATTAGAGTTGGTCTGTCATCATGCCATAGTCTTCAGATGGGCAGTGGATGGTGGATTTAAGTGTACAGATATCAGAGCCAATTGACCCAGGTTCAAACTCTAGCTTTACCTTTCAGTAGGTATTTGAACTCGAGGCATTTACTTAGCCTTCTGTGCTTAAATCTTTTTATTTGTAAATGGTGATGATAACATTTGTTGTGAACAATATACTAATGAAGCACTTGGAATCGTGTCTGGCAAATCAAAAATACACACAGTGTCAGATACTGGATTCTTTCATATGTATTTTTTTTATTTCAATGGTCAGAAAAGCCTGGTGAAGTGGACAGGGCATTTGTCCTGAACAGAGATTAGTGGAGATCCTCTATGGAAGGTTTGGAGAATGCATCTTCAGTGAAGTTCAATAATGTGAATTTTTTCTTTTTTAATTGCTAGTTCTTTTTTAAAACTATTTCCTGATACAATGCTAAATGAAAAATTAAGCTGTTAACATTATGCAGAATATAATACCATTTTTTCTATATTCTTAAACATTTCAAACAATCTAATTTTTAAGTGATTACTTTGGGGTAGTGGAATTCATTTTATTTACTTAATAGTAATATACCACTTACTGTGTGCGATATACTGTTCTAAGCTCTCTTAAAATATTAACTCATTAATCCTCATTACAACCCAGTAAGGTAGAGATGATGAGAATGCCCATTATGCAGACAAGGAAACTGAAGCACAGTGAGGTTAAGTCTCTAGGGTCAAAGAACTCAGAAGAGATTGTTTTCTGTTGAATTTTACATGCTTTTCTAGGTCTTCAAAGATTTCCATACTGAACATGTATTTGTTATGTAATTTTTAACAGGAATGTTTTTGAAATATGTCCTGGAGCCCAGATGCTTTAAGGCTTTAAAAATATTGACTCCTCATTGCCCAAACTAAGCAATGCGGAAAAAAATCCCTTATTCTTTTCTTCTTGGCCTACACATCTTTGGTGTGAGCAATAAATCAAAGTATTTTGATAAATATATATATATATATTTTTTTTAAGATTTTATTTATTTATTCGACCGACTGAGATCACAAGTAGACAGAGAGGCAGGCAGAGAGAGAGGAGGAAGCCGACTCTCCCCTGAGCAGAGAGCCTGACTCGGGGCTCGATCCCAGGACGCCGGGATCACGACCTGAGCTGAAGGCAGAGGCTTTAACCCACTGAGCCACCCAGGAGCCCCTTGATAAATATATTTCTAAAGAATGTATATTATCCAGTAGTTTGGGATCCTTGGTTCACATAAATAGGGATAACTGATATTCCTCAATTAATAAATAAAGTTTGACATTCTGTGCATTTAATGCACATATATCTAAATATATGTAATCCTGCTTAATTTTCCAACAATCTCTTACAGTATTTACTCAGTGCATTCATTATGCCCTATCTCACTGGATATATTTGACAGCATATGCTACTGTTTAAGCTCAATTTATTTAGAGTATGAATAAAATATTAATATTTAGAAATAAATGGAGCATGGAGGAATGTGAATACAAAGGGACAGAGAGGGAAATGGGAGGCAGGTTATAGTCTCTTTAGCTAGGCAGAAAATTAGTTATAGTCCCACCATGATCATGTATTTTCTTTATAAACATTAGTTTATTATGATATATGATTACTGGGATCAAATTTTTGTCTATCTTGAATTATTCTCTAATAAGTGTTATTTTTTCTAAGTAATTAAAATTTGATACATTAAAAAAATCTAAAGGAATAAGAGACGCTTAAGTCCATGCTGTATATTTTCTTTCAATAGCTACAGCAGTATGGATTTTAACTGTCACTAGTTTATGTTTTGCGTTAAGTAGATGATTGATATGTAAAATAAAAATATTTTACTTTAACCAAAATGAACTTCTAAAATATGTGCATAATGAATTTATTACAAATATTATTAATTTAAAGGAATTCATAAGCTCACCATCCACTGCATCCTACCCCCAACTTCTGACAATCATTTGGGACAGATTCCCATGCTTTGAATTTTTTCAGTTCTTGTTCAACTTTATTAAGTGCCTAGATACAGGTCTGGGCACAGAGAATAATGACATTACCCAGTACTTCCAATCAGTAAGGGGAGAGTTATAGTTACAAACACAGCAATATATGTCAGAGTGTTTCCCGCGTACACAGAGGGACAGCCACCCCAATAAGACTTCCCAGAGAAATGACATCTGCACTGTCACTTGAGATAGTGAGTGGATGACTGAGGTTTAAAAGATGTGAAGATGACTGAATAAGGCAACCACATGTACTTGGTGTCAAAGGCTGAAAGAGGAAAAGGGTAATACTTATTTGAATTTCAGTATCATTGAAATAAAATAAATAAATAAAGTTAATATAGAGCCAGTATAGTTGCCAGTAAATCTATCAAAACTTTCCTAAACACCCCAACTGCAGTGTTTTTTTTTTTTTTTTCTTTGTCTATTGTGGGTATCCTTAGCATTTACCGAATTCTTCTTAGTGAGAGGGCATGTTTTATCAGATAAGACAGTGGCCTCCTGCCCACTTGCTAGCAGGACAGCTGTGGTAAGTTCCTCACTCTTTTAGTGATTTTTTTTTTTAATCTTAAAAATGCGAATGGTGACAATAATGTCCATCTTGTAGCATCATGGCAAGGATTAAAAGAAAGACTTAGAGGGCACCTGGGTGGCTCAGCTGGTTAAACAACTGCCAGAGTGCTGGGATCATGCTGGCAGCTCCATAGGGAGTCTGCTTCTTCCTCTGACCTTCTCCCCTCTCATACTCTCTCTCACTCTCTCTCTCTCTCTCTCTCAAATAAATAAATAAAGTCTTAAAAAAAAAAAAGACTTAGAACGGTGTCTGGCCCATTCCATTAAATGTTGACTACTGTTATTTGATAGGTATTACGTATGTCTCATCATCTCTAGTGTATTACAAAGACTCTTAAAGATAGAGACTCTATCTTATTGACCTTTAGTTCCTTCACAAGAGTTAATCGATTTTCACAAATTAAGATTCCCCTGTTTTTAAATAAAATAGAAAGTATTAGTTGATATTTCTTCTAAAAGAATTAAGAGATGCTTGACTATTTAGTTTCATTAAAGAATGTAATAATAATAACAACAATAACAATAACAACAACCTTTCCCTACCATTGGTCTTTTTCTTGTGGCCTGATTAAAGGACATTTCTCTGTAAGTACTTCTTCACATGTATGAAATGAACTGGATTGGTCAAACATTCTCTTCTCTTCATAGAACATGTATTTAGAAGTTAGTTTGATTATTTCCCAGCACCTAACAATGCTGGCCATACTGGAACAGAACCCTCTACCAGTTACTTCTGCTATGTATACTAACTGGCTACAGAGCAGAATTTAAAGATATTCATGAATGATATTACAGCATGATAAAACTATGGGAAAATGTAAGCATATATTGAAGATTTCATCTAATGACTCTTAATTACAAGAAAGCAAATGACAGAGCATTTCCATTTTGCCAAAGGAGGAAAGACATCAAATGATTTGGCTAAGATTCTTCAGAAAATCAACACCAATCTTTGGAAAGAAAATGTGCAATGGTATCTAAATCCTACATATTCTATCTGTGACACTCTGTATGAATGGGAAATGAAAATCTTTTTGAACAAAGAGGACAAGTAAATACAGTAATTACAGTCACAGGATATTATTGTGGCAAAAAACAAGACATGGAAGAATGCACACCAGTGGGGCAAATCTCTACATTAAAGGATGAATGAAAACATTTAAATTCACGTACATTATTGAAATAATAGCTTCATGGGACAAAAAAAGACTTCTCCACAACATTACACTTTCTACTATTTGTTCTCTAGAAGATAAGCATAATGTTGTTTTTTTTTTTTAGTGTTTCTTACACATTTTTCTGGATTTTTTTCCCATAAACTATGGTCCAGCAGATCCTGTGGGAAGCAAATATGCCTCTGCAAGCTCCTTCTGCCCGTCTGAAAACTTCTCTTAAAAGATGAATTCTAAACCTGGAAATGTGGGACCCAGAACTGAATCACCAGCTCTCAACAACACCCTCCAGAGGGACCCAGAGATACTAGATGCCGGGGTCTTCCATGGCCCTGTCTTGCACCAGACCTTTTCAGAACCTCATCCCAGAGAGTAAAGAGTCAATGAAAATAAAAGTTTAATTTTCACACTTCCTCTTTCCACAAGGATTAGTCTTTTCCTTGAACAACCATGACGCATCTCTGAAACCCTCACTATCAAATCTTAGTGCATAGCCTTGGACCCTGAAATCAACATTTCTTACCTCTACACTTTTAATGAGTGCTTAGTCAACATTTTTTACACAAAGTCAAAGCTGTTATTTCTTATGACCTCAGATCTGATTGTGTGTATGTATGTGTACAAATACTAGTTTTTCTAACCAGCCACTGTATTTCAACTTCATACCTGCATAAGCACTTCCATGTTCCTTCAATTAATGTTGGCTTCTCCAGCAAGATAATAAAGTTGAGGAGAATCAGACTGTCTATTTTGGTATATATTATGGCTGTAGCAATAAACATTATGCTAGGCACATAATAGGGGCTCAATCTATATTGGTGGAATGAATGACTGAAAAAGTGAATCAATGCATTAAAAAAGTTCTTTACCAAATTATTTGTGTAAGATGGGTAATTCTGATATACAGTTCCATTATGAGAGTTTTCACGATTTGAGACAAGGCAAAATGATGTACATGCTTCATTATAAAATTAACAAACATGTACACTGAAGATCGGCTCTATGTATTTGTTTTAGCATATTTGAGAATAATTTAATGTATCAGTTTCAGCAAGTTGTTTGCAGAAATCCACATAGATTTCTTTCTTAACTCTTTAAATGGAATTCCACATAAGATATACAATTTGTACAAATGTTGCATACTGAACATTTATTGATATTCGTAGCTGCCTTGATTTTTGTTTCCGTGGTTATTTTCAACTAACAAAGATATCGGTAATCATTGGTGATTTATGCCTCTGGAATGTGCTGGCTCACCAGTACCCTTTTGCCGAGATCTTTCTTTGGAAAAGCCCACATGGTATCTGGGAGCTTCTCCAGACACTTGCATTATCATTATTTCAGCGGCCTGCTGAGAATTCTGCAGGTTGGATCCACCGGAACAGGGGTTATTACTGAAATCCATCATGAAAAGTGTCAGAATGCAATAATGAAAGCAAGGCAAGAAGTTTTTACCAAGTCAGGAATTCCTAAGTTACAGTGTTTAAGAGTTCCAATTCTTTTGCATTTTCATTTTTTACCATGTGTCCAGCAGAGGATTTAAAATACCAACACCCTTTGTCTCACTCTTGGCTGCACTCGAGGTACATGGATTCAAAGACCAAATATTTAAGTTTTAGAGCTTTTTTAGGCACTCACTGTGGGATCTTTGCCAGCCATCTTGCACTCTTCGACTTTGATTGTAGATGCTGGCCAGAAAACCTGCTCGGGAAGGAAAATAAAGGTTACATAATCTTACTTATAGACAGCTCAGTGCTCTTCATCTACTTTATGTTAACACATTTCTTTAAGGCATTTCTATATTTATATTTAAAGATTCTTTCTTTCAGTTTATGAACTGAAATTCACAAAGATTTTATTATTTTATTCTAATAACTGTTTTTATTTTTCTCATCAATTTTTCCTTTAACAAAAGACTTTCAATAATATGTGCCCATTTCCTAATGACATATTAAAATAATGTCATTCATGTGTACAGTAAAATGTGTATTTCCCTCCTTTTCCATTATTCTTTTTTCAACTGCTTATATCACAAAGAATTTATATTTATATTACCATTTTGGTTTAATATTATTTTTGGTAAACCACAGTCAGGCTGGTAGATTTACTTAAAACAGGCCCCTAGCCTCAACAGCTAAAATAACTTGGATTGAATCCAAGAGATTCCCTCTCTGAAATACTCAGCTAGTGTTCTAAGTCACAATAGCTTTGGGTCAAGTCTGACAGTGATGATGATTATTATTTTTTTTAATTGTCAGCCACTGACCCTTGTTAAAATAATAAATTCAGAAATCTCCTTGTTGTAATAAACGTATAATTAATTAACTTTTATTTCTTTACTCCATGAAGACCAATTTATGTCCTTCTTATGAGATAGAATGATAAATATAGGTCACACTTATTCCAAGAACAGTGCACTTAATAATGGTTCTTTTTAAGGCCTTCTTGGATTACATACAGATGACAAGGTAGATCTTCCTTTAGTCTGATCATTTTTTCAGGCTATATTATATGCTTCTTTCTGTCTGTCTATCTTTCTATCTCTCTCTCTGTATCCACACCCACAAACAATCATATGCAAACACATACACAGGAAGTGTTTTCTCATTTAGTTTTAGATTTTGAAGTGTTAAAATCTATGAAGCTAGACAGTGAGAACTGAATTGATTATATTTTCAGCGCATGAAGTAAGTACTAACTTCTGATTATTTGTTGACATGCGGCCTGTATTTTTTATAGTTCTAAAGGAATACACAATTTTTTCATTTTATTTGAAATTTTTAATTTTTAAAGAAAAAGGAACCTAACTCAACATGGCCTTCATAGAAATGATAAACTTACACTCAAAGGTTCTTGACTTATATTGTTAATATTCAAGGAAAGAATGTGATCTTTGCTGCCCACATATATCCGGTCCTGATCTTCATCCATTAATAATATCCTGTAGTCTAAAGGGTGGTGGGACAGGCTGAAGTATTCAGAGGTCTTGGTTTCACGAAGCTCTGAAATAGTGAATAGCACAGTGAAAATAGTGTATCTTGGTTCCATGATTCTATTATTTTAATGAAAATTACTTTATAGAAATATTTACCAAAAAAGTTAAGATGTATTTTCCTTCCTATGATAATAAGTTAATTTAAAAGAATTATGTTAGTGGTTATTTTTATTTATTGTTTCTATATTGAAATAAAACATAAAGAAATCAATAAATGCAATGTTGAAGTTTATGATTCTATTTTATTGCAAAATTATTCACATTATGCAAGAATCTCATCTCAGTTTTATCACTGGCTATCATCAGCTCAAAACTAAAATAGATCAACTAAAAAAACAGAGTAAATGAGCAGACTGAACAAAAAAACAAAACAAAATAATGACAGTATGATGTCTTCTTAACTTCTCTTAATGTTTTATGGTTATAATCAATACATTCATCATTTTAAGATTGGTATTTTCTACTTGAAATATTTACCTTTCTTCCTCAACATAATTCTAACTAGTTTGATTTTTTTGTCTATAAATTACTTGAAAACAAATCTACTCTTTGCCTGTTACACCTCATCCAGAAGACAATGCTGCTTAAATGATAGTCTGGCTATGTATAGATCAAAAAGTAAACCAAAAATATTCAGATGACCTGAATGTTTAGATTTTCAGTATCTCAATGATCACGACTCATGCTCATTTAACTTCTTTTACAACATGTGCAAAATATGTGCCCATAAAGCCGAACTTTGAAGACAATGAATGCACCACGACAATTAAAAAAAACAACAATCAGTATAGCACATTCAATTTTTTTCCAGGCAAAATACTTCTTTTTACAATTTATGCCTTTCCCATTCAAATGGTGAAGTATTTCTTCATTCTTGGGATTATGACCTTAAGAGAGTGACAAACTCTACAAAGCAGTATGCTTTCATAATTTACTGTTTCAATGATGAATTATTTCTAAATTTTAGACATTGAATCACAAATATACTTCTAGAAATTCTCATAGGCTGTGGTGTGACTTAAACCAAAGCTTGAAACGGTAAGAATTCTTATAGAAAGACATGAACTATAGTCTGTGAACTCTTGGGCCATATCCCATATGCAAGGATAGAGAAGTCACAAATTTAACCTATTTCCTGGGCATATCAGTTCAGAATATTTGCCATTATATTCTTCAAGCAGTTCTATATCTAGCTAAGAATCTGAAAATGTCATGTGAGTAGCACAGTGATTATGAAGCCAGACTGTAGTACCAAACTTCCTGTGACATTGAACAAGTTACTTAACATCTTTGGGCTTTAATTTTCTCATTTGCAAAAACCAACAATATCACCTCTACTAAGAGTTTCCATGGAAATCAATTGAATACATGTAAATATTAGAAATGACTGACAGAAAAACTATTCAAAAAGTTCTAATAATTATTGGTTAGTTATTAGTATAGTATTATCAAATTTGAATTACTATCCAAATGACATATGGAATTGGATAAATAGATACACATTTTTCTTTTTTTTCCCTTTTTCTTCTAATTTAAGGAACTAGATTTCTCAAATTACTAACACATAATCATAAAACATAGTCTCTGATATTTTGTCCACACAATGACAGTACAGTGTAGAAATTTTTTTATGTGGAAGTTATAAAAATACTTCAGAAGAGTCTTAAGAAATAAATCACGTGAGAAGACAGAAACAAAAGACACTGAAAGATGATTTAAACAAGAGACTAGATGACAGATCTGGAAATCGGAGATTTGAGATGCAGAGCGCTGTGTGGCGTGCTAACCTAGTTCTAAGTTACTGGACCTCGGAGGCATCACAGACAGGTGATGTGGTTGGCAACCATGGTGCCACTGGTCCAGGAACTGGAACTGCTTCTTTCAGGAGGAAAGCAAGACTGAAGAGAGGGAGGTCATTCAGGAAAAAGTCAACTCCTGCCAGACCAGAGATTATTGCTGAAATAGGGGAAAAAAAAGAAAAAAATCCAAGAGCTCAAAACATGAGAGAATATAGTATCCAAGAAATGTCACTCAAAGTTTGCAGAGACGAAGTCGGCCTTGATTTTGCCTAAAATTCAAGATGTTATATTAAGCTTGGTTTTCATCATATGGAAGAGACTCATGGATGTATAATGTTTCTATAAAAAACATCAGGAGAAAGGGATAGGTTGGGGTGAAGAATAGATGTTCAACACATACCTCTTCAATAAATAACTCTCCGGTGAAATATATAGACCAGGAAAGTGAAATATGACTGAGTTCATGGCCTCTGGGGCCCAACCACCAGAGTCTGAATCCAAGCTCTGCCATTTCATTTTTTTGTGTGTGGTTTTTTTTTTTTTTAGATTTTATTTATTTATTTGACAAACAGAGATCACAAGTAGGCAGAGAGGCAGGCAGAGAGAGAGGAGGAACCAGGCTCCCTGTTGAGCAGAGAGACCGATGTGGGGCTCAATCCCAGGACGCTGGGATCATGACCTGAGCTGAAGGCAGAGGCTTTAACCCACTGAGACGCCCAGGCGCCCCATGCCATTTCATTTCCATATATACTTGGCAGGTGACTTTATCCCTCTGCACTCTAGTGTCTTCATGTGTAAGGTCAGAATAATAATAATAGTACCTACCTCATAGTGGTGTTGAGGTTTAAATTGTTGATATACATCAAGTGCTTAAAAGAGTGCCCGTCCCATAGTGACATGGGTTATATTATATGACTCGGGAAAAGACATCAAGCTTCAACCAGCCAGGTAAGGACAATTCTTTACACATGGAGGAAACATGGAAGACCAGATGGCCTGATTTTTATTTATTCATATATTTAATACTTCATTTTTTCACAGAATGTATTCAAATTATTTGAACAGGAGAATAAAATAAGAAAAATTTTTTAAGGAAAATAATTTGAGCGGCAGGATAATTTTAAAGTATGTGAGACTGGAAAACTATGAGATGAGGGTATTCCAGATATGATGTTGATAGAGACCTGATATGCTAAAAATGGAAAAGAAGAATTGATGAGCAGAATGCTTAAAAGAAAGGATTTGGAATTGATTTTATAAGAAGCTGGTCTGGGGGGTAAAAGGAAGCTGTAAGCTAAGAACAGGACAAATGAACATGCCTTTACTGGTTCTGGGGGATTTGAAAGGGAAATTTCCTTGGTAGAGAGATTGCTTGAGTGTTGACAGATTAAATTCAAATCAAAGCAGATACATCCCACAAACATGTAAAACTAAAGTATGTTTGCCATCAGAACTATCAAGTCAGGGGCACCTGGGTGGCTCTGTCATTAAGTGTCTGCCTTTGGCTCAGGTCATGATCCCAGGGTCCTGCGATCAAGCTCCGCATCAGACTCCCTTCTCTGTGGGAAGCCTGCTTCTCCTTCTCCCACTCCCCCTGCTTCTGTTCCCTCTCTCTCTGTGTCTTCTCTGTCAAATAATAAGTAAAAGAAATATCAAGTCAGCAGGTAGAGTTTTTCCAATTCTTCTCAGGGGTTATGTTGAGTTTCTGAGAGTGGACAGCTCTGAGAAAGCCCTGAGAAGAGACTCTGAGGTAGTAAATCTGAAGTGAAAAGCCAAACATAGAGATGCATTGATTGTTTCACCCAAAAGGAGCAGCTCTATAATTGAAACTGAAAGTGAATCATGATATATAGGCAACAGTGTGCCACTGGGGTGGGAGTATACAATCCGAGTGAGACAGTCCTGAATTGAAATGCAAGCTTAAACACTTACTGAGCATACTATTTTAAGAAAGCTACCACTCTTTGCCCAATTCGATTTCCTCATCTATATGTTATGCTAACACCCAGCAGTGGGTCAGGTTGTGCTCCTTTGAGCAGGAGACACTTGACCTTCCATCTAACAGAGAATTTTCCTTGTCTTCCCCATGGGTAGAGCCCATCTATATCGACCATCGTTGTCCCACCTCACCCCTAGCTCGTGAGTGACTTAAATGTGACATGTGATGAGTGCTGGTCAATGAGAATTAAAGGGAAGCCTTCTGCAGGAGTACTGAAGAGGCTTCTTCTGTCTTCAAAACTGGCACCAAAAAAAAAGAGGTGATTTCGTTTTCTGCCTCTGGACATTTGTACATGAGGGCTATGATATGTGACGCAGTTGCTGCTTACCATGCACATTGGGAGCTCAGAATGGCAAGCAAAAATTTAGGAAAAAACCTGGCTGAAGAAATGATTTAATCTCTGAACTCATCCTAGAACTGCTCTATCATCACTGGACCACTTTCGTTACAGAAGATTAAAAAACAAAAATCCATGCAATTTTTTTTTTTTTTAGACACATTAAGGTTTGCATTTCCTGTTGTTGAAACCCTTCCTAGAGACGCCTGGGTGCCTCAGTCAGTTAAGTGATGCCTTCAGCTCAGGGCATGATCCCAGGGTCTTGAGATCCAGCCCATGCAGGGCTCTCTGCTTAGCGGGAGTCTGCTTCTCCCTCTCCCACCTGCTGCTTCCCCCTGCTTGTGTGCTCTCTCTCTAAAATAAATAAGAAAAATTTTTAAAAAACAAAAGAAAAAGAAACCCTTCTTAACTGCCACGTCTTCCAAGTATTCACAGCCCCTACCTGCCACCTTCTCATTCTTTCTATCATGGTTTGTTTCATTCCAGTATTTTTTAAAATATTCTTTTTTCTTTTTCCCTTTTCTTCCTAATCTATACTGAAATAAAACCAAGAGTGTGATCTTAGCCCAGAAAACAGCCTCAACCGAAATTTACTTGCAAGTAACAAACAATGGCAGCTTTCCTCTTTATCTATTTCATTAGAAAATAATCAATTTCTTGCATTAATTCAAATACCAGAGGGAGCAATAACCACATTAACTAAAGACCTTTCTGGTTCAAGGATTTATCTATTTTCCTGAGCCATAAAGCTATCTTCAAATTTAATTACCTGCTGCCCATTGACAGTTGACAGCTGTTAACCAAGGAAGATTTACTTAGGAAGTGCCCTGTTAGAAACCTAGAAGCCAAGGTTATTTTGTTTAAATGCTATT